AAGAAAAAAAAAAAAAAAAAAAAAAAAAGAGTAGTGTTTGGGAGCAGTCATTATAGATCTGTAAGTAGCCAGAAAACTGGAAGGTACAAGTTCAATGACAGCTATCCTCACTTTTTTTTTTTCCCCCCAAAAAAACATTCTAAGAGGTAGACGTTCATTGTGGCTTTTTCTTGATGCAGCAGAAAGGGGACAGCTTTGCCTGCCCTAGACACATAGTTCCTTGAAGTTACCCAAAGTCTGCAGCAATGCTGCCCCACAGTCTACTTTTGTTTTTTAAAAAAATCCCTGATTATTATAATCAATTACGACAAACACAGCACCCATCACCCAATTCCCTCAGGCTGTTCCTCACCCCATTTGTGGTTGAACATTCCCATGTGCAACGTCCTCCCTTACATCCACTGACCCGACACTGCATTCGGACTGCTGCAGATGTGTGCATCAGCACAGGTGCCTTTTACCCCTTTTGGAAATAAAAGCTCTTAATTTCGGCAAAATTAGCTGCAGCAGTAACTAGCTGCTGATTAGTTAAACAGACTACTCAGGTTTCTACAAAATCAAAAGGGGGAAACTTATTTCTCCAGGAGCAGCTTAGGTGTGCTTGGCTGAGAGTCAGACCACCTTCTTGATAAATCCTACCGCAGTCAACCAAAGGATTCAAGAGCTGCTGTTTGGAAGGGAGATGTCAACTCAGGCAAAGCTTTTAGGGCTCTATTAACAGGAGATGCAAGCCTTACCCCACCAAGCTCAGCAACAGGCCCCCAAGGATGAATACTGAACCTGATATTAGAAGTACTCAGAGGGCGTGCTGCAGCATTAATACTTAATATTGTGACTGGTCCATCAAAAGGAAAGGCTGCAATGCCCACAGCTGGTTACGCTGTCACCTGCTTTTAAGAGCGGGGCTCGCCAAACTGCCTACCGTAAAGCCACAAAGCCATCTCTGGGGCAAGAAGTTCAGGACTTGATTTCTGGCCTTTGCAGAAGAGGACTCGGAGCTACTGGACCAGGGAGGAAACAGAAGCTCTTCCCCTGCCCAACCTCTGTGTTATTTATAGGCAGTAGAGTCTCCAATAACACATTTCAACCTGTTTTGAAGGACACACCCTTTCCCAGGCTTTTTCCAAGCCCCAGGCAGGAAAGAAGCCAACATTCAGGATACAGAGTCCAAAACCCTGGGGTCTGCACTATTCTTAGCCTGAGCATGCAGCTCCTCAGACAGCTCGACCCAAGACACAATGGGAGGAAGCAGCAGCCGCTGTTTGCTGAGAGCAGCCAACACGCTGCTTGCGAGATAAGGGCACACCCGAGCTGGAAAGGCTCAAAACAGAAACCCTCCATCAGTTTAGGGAGCAGCAAGAGTCCTAGCACTGGTTTAAGGAGACAGTGCTTCTGACCTACATGCTCTAGTCTGCATTAGACACATTTACTCATGGAATCACTCAGGTTGGAAAAGCCCCTCGGGATCGAGTCCAACCATCAGCCTGACGCTACAAATTTCTCCCCTACCCCACATCTCCCACCAGCTCATCCAAACAGCCCTTAAACACACCCAGGGATGGGGACTCCACCCCTCCCTGGGCAGCCCATTCCACTCTCTGACAACTCTTTCTGGGAAATATTTTTTCCTAATGCCCAGCCTGACCCTCCCCTGTTGGAGTTTAAAGCCGTTCCCCCTTGTTCTGTCCCTGATCCCCTGGGCGCAGAGCCCAGCCCCAGCCTCTCTGCAATGTCCTGTCAGGAGCTGCAGAGAGGGATGAGGGCTCCCCTCAGCCTCCGCCTCCTCCTCCTCACACTGAACACTCCCAGCTCCTTCCCTGGCTCCTCACAGGATTTATTCTCCAGGCCCTTCCCCAGCCTCGTTGCCCTCCTCTGCCCTCGCTCCAGCCCCTCCAGATCTCTCTGGGATTGAGGTGCCCAAGCCTGGACACAACCCTCCAGGTGTGGCCTCACCAGTGCAGAGCCATTCCTCCCAAATACCCTTGTACCAATGCTTCAAGCACCAGTAGCAAAAGTAACTGGCAGAGGGGATACTTTAAGGAAGGAATAGGGATGGAGGGCATGTTCTAAGTTATCTCTGGGTCTGCAAGACATGAGGCAGCAGTGGAAGTATAGAGATTGAACTAGCTCCTACTGAAGATATCTGGCTACTGCTGGGCTATTCCACAGCATCTTTCAGAGAAGATGAGTTTATTCTGGGCCAGAGTGCTCCCACTTGCAAGAGGAGCATGCATGGGCAGCAGGCACTCGGGGAGCTGCTGGTGAAGCAACGGCCTGCAGGCAAAGTCCTGCATGGTGCTGCACACTGGAGCTCCCAGGCTGATGCAGGTGGACCACAAGAAATAATTCTGCTTTTTCCTAACCAAAAAGAATAAAAAAAGAGACTTGAACATCTTTCCTCCCCAAGAGCCCACCTAACTGCTGCTCCTCTCCTCCTTCTTGCGCAGTTGCTGACATTGTTCAGCCCATCTATGCCCATCCCTTATACAAATCCAGAGTCATCCACAGGTCTAGTGCAGGGGAAGCTCTGGAACCCACACAGCAGCACCACCTTCCCACTGTCCACCCTGCAGAGACATTATCAAGAGCCTCAGCTGGATCACTCATGCATCTGGGGACCCTAACTGCCTAAATGAAGGCCACATAGTACTTTGGTACAGTTCTCAGTTTTAAGCTCTAGCCTGTGTGTCTTATTTCTACGCTGATTTTTACATAGACAACTGGTCATAAACTGTAGCTTTGTGATAACAAGCACTAAGACATGCTTTGCACATTAAAAACAGATCATATTATTTGA